ACAGGGCTCAAACTCATGAACCGTGAGATCATGACCTGAGCCAAGCTGGATGCTTAACCAACTGAGCCACCAGGTGCCCCAAAAATAAAGTTTGTTTTAAAAAATTGTTTTTTTTTTTTATCACTTACAGAATACATGTCTTTCTTCAGCACAGAAGTGCGATCCTAGAAGCAGGCATCAAGCTTTACTCATTTCTTTGACTATACTCACCGTGTCTACAAAGGGCATTGCTGATAGAAGGTTCTCAGTAATTGTTGTTTGAATGATAACTCCTCTAAGCCAGTTTTGTGACTTACAGTCTAATTATTATTTACAAAACTCACACTCAAAACACTATTATGCTTAGCCAGGCTATGGGTACACAAGATATTTTATTAATCCGATTGATTCTTTGTCCACCAACTGTTGCATTAGGAATTCTAGCATCTGCCTTATACTAGTTTATCTGTAAAGATTATGTCTACTTAGTTTCATAAAAGCAATCCACACATAGGCAGTTCAAGAAAGATGGAACAAATGCATTGTATTCATCAGAGCCTCTGGAACTCATGTTTCTGCTTACAATCAGAACTTCCATTCTCAAGGTGGCGTGGGTTTTATTCTGGCCTGTGAGCTCAGAATAGGCTTTCCATTTTTAGAGCGTTGTAAAGGAGAAGAGAAGGAAAAGAATAAGAGGAAGGAGAAAGAGGAGAAGAAGAGGAAGAAGAAGAACAGGATGGAACACAAGAAGAGGAGAAGGAGAGGAGGAGAAGGAGGAAGAAACAGAAGAAGCAGAAAAAGGAGGAGGGGGAGAGGGGGAAGAAGGAGAAGGAGAAGAAGAAGAAGAAGAAGAAGAAGAAGAAGAAGAAGAAGAAGAAAGAAGAAGAGGAAGAAGAAGAAAGAAGAAAGAAGAAGAGGAAGAAGAAGAAGAAGAAGAAGAAGAAGGAAAGAAAAAGAAGAAGGAGGAGGAGGAGGGGAAGGAGGAAGAGGAGGGAGAGGGGGAAGCGGAAGAGGAGGAGGGAAGAGAAGGAGAAGAACAAGAACAAGAAGAACGAGAACTAGAACATAAAGAACAACAAGAAGAGACAGAGACTATCTGTGGTTTCCAAGCCCAAAATATTTACTATCCGGCTCTTTATGAAAAGGCTTTGTGAACAATGTCATGTAATCCTCCAGCATCCTTTGCAGTAGATATTATTATTATTATTATTATTATTATTATTATTATTCCCATTTTAAAGGTAAAGAAACTGAGGCTGTGAGAGGTTGTATCTACACAGCCAAGAAGTGGCAGCACTGGAATTTGAACCCAGTCTCCAAACTGTTCTTCATAGGGCCCAAATGCACCTTCTCTGGTTCCATTAGAAACATCTCACCCTCCCCTGCCCAGGGGAAGTTGATGATCAGCTGTAAATGGTTTCACAAACTAACGCACCGTCACTATGGACGCATGATCAGGAACTGCTCCCCACTTCTTAGCAGATAGTGAGGGATGGGATGCTGGATGGGTACATTTTGAAAAGCTCATCAAATAAAGCTCAAGGGCAATGAAAGTAGCTTCTTTGGGTGAAGGGACGTCGTCTGTCTCCATTGCTGCAGCCTTAGTTTTTTCTCCCGCTTTCCCTCCTCAGATCCTGCACAACTACTACTACCGAGGGTACGAAGATGCCGTTTCCTACTTGAGGAGGTTGAGTAAGTACCAAATGGGGCCCCAAGGAAGGGGTGGGTTGGGGGTGGGGCAAAGACAGGAAGGGCGGGGCAAAGACAGGAAGTAGAAGGGCTCAGTCGAGGAGGCTTCCCCTCCACTTTGTGAACTAGAGATGCCCTTGCCCAGGAGTTCCCGAAATGGGTACGGGGATCCGGTAGCTTGCATTGTCCGGGCCAGAAATTGGGATCTTCGTGGGAAAGTGCTTTTTAGGGTAACTGCGGGGTCAGTGGATAAGCTTTTGTACAGGTATGTTTCTGGATTTAAGAACCATGTTTAGGAAAACACATAGCTCGCATCTTCCTGGAGGGATGCCATTTTCTTGTCGTTTCATTTTATATGCTTTCCAAGACAATCGTATTGTTAATGTAGAACTAGAAATGACTAGTTTATATTTGTGTAAGACTCCAAGTGACTTATTGATCAACAAATGAGAGGGAAGAGCCTGTGCCCTGTGTTGGTTTAGCAAGTGTGGTTCCTACACTTACACCTCCTCCGTGCATTCTTGTGTGGAAGATTCCAATGGCGTGTATTACACACGCTAACTCCATGAAGACCGTGGCAAACATCTTTGATAAAAGGAAAGAAACAAGGCTTTTTTCATACTTAGAATTGTGTCCATAGGACATATTTCCAGAAAAAAGGATTCCTGGATCAAAGGAAGAGTTTTTCCCCCCGCGTTGCCATATGGTCTTTGCGATTGTCTTTTTTGGCAATTGTGTGATATTTCATCGCAGTTGTGCAGCAAATTTTGATCATTCCTTTGAGTTTCCAAATGTTCACTATTGTAGGGAATGCTGCGGTGAGCTTCTTGTGTATATACTTAAAAGTATATATATTTTAGGAGCGAGATTAAGGGATCGAACGTGGGTTGTTTTTTTTTTCCGTAGGATGTGTTGACTTTTTTTCCTTCAAAGTTGCTTCCTGCTTTCCCAAGGTCCCCTTCTCGTGACTTTTTCCTTTCTCCTGGGTCCATTCTTCCCGCAAGGGGTAGGAGAAGCAAGAGAGAAGGATGGAGGTAACATGGGTTCTGGAGGCAAGGCCTGGGCCAGGATTCTCACTCCCCCCCTCCCCACCAGCTGTGTGAACTCAGAGAAATCACTTGCCTTCTCTGTCCTGATTCCTAATCTGTAAAGAGGGTTAAATCCTGATTCCTGACCCGTACTAACTGTGTGGCCTTGAGCAGGCAATTCATCTCCCAGCACCTCAGCTTCCTCATCTGTAGAAGGAGGCTGATCAGAATTTTATTCCTAGACACAGTCAATCCAGCCCACTGACCCTCTGACCTTGGAGACACCTCTTCTCAGCTCTCTGCAGGACAGGCTCCCCCTAGCCCTGACTCTTCTCTGACAACTTCCCCGCTCCACATTTACATGGGTGACGGATGTGAGGACTGATTCCCAAGTGTCCAAAAGGAGGATCACCCAAGGGGTGGAGATGGGTCTCACCTACAGAGCCTCAGGAATAGGAGGGGCTGGCGAGGGCCTGGGGTCCTTCCCACCACCAGCTGGGGAGCCCCTTCACTCTTTCCTCTGTGATGGTGTGTACTAGGGGACTTGGGGTTGAGGGATCCCCTGATCTGGGGCCAGGATTTTAGAGCAGATACCAGTCCCCTGCCTCAGGAGACCCGTCTACACCTCAGGTTGCTGCCTGGCTGCCTGTCTCTCCCCTAGAATTTCCTTCTCTTACTCTCAGGGAAAGCCCTGGGGAGAGTTATGAAGTGCCTTGCTAAGCATCTCTGGTTTCCCCCACTTCTCAGTAGCCCCTCTGCCAGCCTCTGGGAGGAACCCAGAGCCATCGCCCCCTCCCCCGGCCCCATCATTTACATGATGGTGTAAACGGCAGTCTCAAAGCCAAGGACAAGACTCAAATAGTAGCATTTCGGGCATCCGCTAAAGAATTAGGGCTGTGTGTGGAGCATGGCAGGTTTTCCCAGAGGTCCTGGAATCACTCCAAGTGGGAACAGGCACAACTCATAAGGAAGAAAATGCCTCGTGCCGGCTACGATTTCTGATTGCTCTTCCAATTTGCCAGTGTTGGCATGGCTTTGTCCGTGCGGCCTTCAGCTCCACCCCTACATCCTCTTGGGTGTGGTTGGGGCTGGATTTTCCTCTCAGCACCAGATGCGAGCAGGAGGTATGACACATCCTGAGAAATCGTGGCTGGTGCCCAGAGCCACGCTCTTAATTCCCACCTGCCATCTGGGAACAGAAAAACGGGAGTCCGCTCCAGCCTTCCGCCCTGCTGGTTTCTGGAGAGGGGGTCAGCTCTGGCAGCAAGCCACACCCGCGGTGTCGCCCTCAATGCCTCCACCCGCCTCCTGGCATCCCCCTTTTCCGCCCTCCTAAGGACTCACATCCTCCTAATTATTCCTGCTGCCAGGCGAGCTTCCCTCTCCACCCTTGGCCTCCCCCAGCAGCAGCCTTCTGCCGAAGGGAAGGGCACTGCCTGCTGGTGTGCTTGAAAATCCACATTCCCCACACAGACGTGTGCATGTGGGCGTTGAGTGAGGTTGGAGCTCAGAGGATGCCCTGTCTAAAATATCCATCTGGCATCCGGGCGTGCCTGGCCAGGCTGACCGACTCCCTCCCTCCCTCCCTTCCTTCTTGGCCTTCTTGCTTCTTTGGCACCATCCTCCCTCTCACAATTTAACTTCTGTCTCTCTCTCTCTCTCTCTCTTTCACACACACACACACACACACACACACACACACACACACTCGCACACGCACACACTTGTGAAACCAGCACCACAGTCGAGAGAGTGAACCATCATCCATCATGCCCAAAGTTTCCTCCACCTCCTTTGTGACCCCTCCCTCCTCCCCCCACTTCCTGTCATTATACACATTCCCAGTATGGACTTACAGTATGGACTCTTTTTGGTCCGCATTCTTTCACTCAGTATAATTATTCTGAGATTCATCGTGTTATTGCATGTATAAATGGTTCATTCCTTTTTCCATTCCATTCCATTTATGAAGATACCACAGTTCGTTTATCCATTCCCCCATTCATGGACATTTAGGTCATATCCAGTTTGGGGTCTCATGAATAAAGCTGCTGCGAATACTCATGGAGTCTTAGCACAAACGCATGCTTTCATTTCTCTTGGGTTAATACCTAGGAGTGGAATGTCAAGGTGGTATGGTGAATGTACATTTAATTATAGAATTCTATATACGTATAACCAGGGTAAACACACATAGCATAGAATTTACCGTCTTAACCATTTGTAAGTGGACAGTCGAGTAGTGTTAAGTATATTCACATTGTACAACCCATCTCCAGAACTTTTTTGTCTTGCAAAACTGAAACTCTATACCATTGATCAACAACTCCTCATTTCGCCCTAGAAGCCACCGTTCTATTTTCTACTTCTAGGAGACTGACTACTTTAGATACCGCATGTCAATGGAGTCATACAGTATTTGTCTTTTTGTGACTGGTATATTTCACTCTCATAATGTCCTCAAGGTTTATCCATCTTTACCTATCAATGAACAATTTGGATTGCTTCTTCCTCTTGGCTATTGTGAATAATGATGCAATGAACGTGGATGTGCAAATAATCTTCGAGATCCTGTTTTCAATTCTTTGGGACGTATACTGACTAAGGACATATACCCAGAATGTATGTTTAACTTTTTAAGAGACTGCCAAACTATTTTCTGAAGTGGCTGGACCATTTTACATCCCCACAGCAGCGTATGAGAGTTCCAGTGTCTCCAAATTATCACCAACACTTGAAATGGTCAGTCTTTTTAGTTTGAGCCATTTGATTGGTTGTGTGGTGGTATCTTATTGTGATTTTAATTTGTATTTCCCTAATGACTAATGATGTTCAGCGTCTTTTCATGTGCTTATTTGCCATCTACATATCTTCTTTGTCGAAGTGATCGATTCTGTTGGTCATTTCCCACTATTTAAGAATAGTTCTAGATTCACAGAAAAAATATGAAAATGGTATGGACAGCTTCCATATACTCCTCATTCCCTAGTATAATGTCTCACACCCATGAGATGTTATAGTATGGTACATGGAAAATTTGGCACATAGTATAGTGTAGTGTTTACAATTATTTCACTAATATTGATGTTATTATTAATTGAAGCCATATATTCAGATTTCCTTCCTTTTTAACTTAATGTCTTTTTTCTGATCCAGGATCCCCTTCAGGAGACCACATCACATTCTGCCATGGTGTCTCTTTAGGTTCCTTGTATCCATGACACTTTCTCAGACTCTCCTTGTTTTATGTTTGTTTTCATGTTTATTTTTGAGAGAGCACAAGCGGGGGAGGGGCAGAGAGAAGGACAGAGGATCTGAAGTGGGCTCTGTGCTGACAGCAGCAAGTTCAATGTAGGGCTTGAACACACGACCCGAGCTGTGAGATCATGACCTGAGCCCAAGTCAGACCCTCAACCGACTGGGCCACCCAAGTGCCCGACTCTTCTTGTTTTTAATGACCTTGGAAGATTTGAGTACTGGCCAGATATTTTGTGGAATGTTCCTTAGTTGGGGTTTGTCTGATGTTTTCCTCATGATTAGACTGGGGTTCTGGGTTCCAGAGAGGAAGACCACAGAGGCAAAGTGCCGTTGTCGCCACATTATATCGAGGGTACATACATGCTATCCCCATGGCATATCACCCATGATGTTGACCTTGCACTTGTCTGCAGTGGTGTTTATTGGGTTTCTCCACTGTGAAGTTGCTCTTTTCCCCCCTTTCTATACTGTGCTCTTTGGAAAGAAGTCACTATGCACAGCCCACACTTAAGGGGTGAGAGTTAGGCTTTACTTCCTTGAGGGCAGGGAATGAGGTCAGGGTATCTACATAAATCTCTCGGCTTGGAAGATTTGTCTCTTCTTCCCCATTTGTGTACTTCTTCAATCGCTTGTTTGTTTCAGTATGGACTCGTGGATACTTATTTTATACTTTGGGTTATTTTTCAATCTTACTTTATTTATTTTGCTACTCACATTGTTCCAGCTTTGGCCATTGGAAACTCTTTCAGTGGGCCCTTTTGCCCATCTAAAAATTGAATTGTTTTATTTAAAAGCTTTTATATATTCTTTTTTTAAAAAGGAGAATGGATAATGATTTATTTCAATTGATACAAAATTTAAAAATATACAGAATAATGTATATTTTTATAGTACATAAATTTGGAAAGTATAGAAATTATAAAACTCAAACTCAGGATAGGGTATGTAGGAAAGATAATGGGAACATAGAAGGCTTCTTCTATACCTGGAATAGTATATAGTTTTTGCTTTTTCATTTGGCAATAATTTAATAATTACTTAAATGTTTAAGAAATTAGGAGCACTTGGGTGGCTCAATCGGTTGAACGTCTGACTCTTGATTTCGGCTCAGGTCATGGTCCCAGGGAAATGCCCTTTATTAGAAATATGACTTTCAAATATTTTCTCTCAGCCTGTGATTTCTCTTTCCAATTCCTTAACAGTATTCTGAAAAGGAGTTTTTCATTTTGATAGGGCCCTTATTATTAATTTGCTTCCTTTATGAATCATGCTTTTGGTGTCTTACCTAAGAAATCTTTGCCTTACTCAAGATCACAAAAACGTTTTCTGTTTCCTTCTAGAAGTTTTATGGTTTTTTGGCTTTTCATTTGTGTCTATATTCCATCTTGAGTTAATTTTTGGATGTGGTTCAAGGTATAAAACAAAGGGTTTTTTTGTTGTTGTTGTTTTTTTGCATATGGACATCCAGTTCCTCCAGTATTGTTTACTGAAAAGACTACGCTTTCTCTAATGAAGTGACTTTGCACCTTTGAGTAAAGTCAGTTGTCTGTATATGTCACGAGTCCAGTTCTAGACCTTCTGTTTTGTGCCATTGATCAATTTCTCTGTCTTTATGTCAATGTCATACTGTCTTGATCACTGCAGCTTTATAATAAATCTTGGTATCAGGTAGTCTTAGTTCTCCAACTTTGTTTTGTTTGGTTTTTTGTTTGTTTTTTCAAAGGTGTTTGGTATATTCCAGGGCCTTTCCAATCCCATATGAATTTTAGAACTAGCTTGTGGATGTCTACACAAAATACAGTCGTGCAGTACTTGTCTTGTCAAGCCATTCTCTCCTCCTCTGTAATCACCACCTCAAGACTACCCCTCTCCCTGATCCCCAGCAGAGGGATTTGTATCCAAACAACTTCACAGAAAAAAACCAAAGCCAACAGAGGGAAGTTCTCTCAACTTTGCACTACCGAACATACAGACTCACCCTTCTCTGTCTCCTTCTTTCCTCGAAAGTTAAAGGAAGCAACCCTCTTCTTGCCTAAAACCCACACCCTGCCTGTGCTCAGACCCCTTCACCATCTCAGGACTCTTGAGTCATCCATTATTCTATCTCTCTTTTATATATCGAACCCCCACCTCTCGACTGGATTCTTACCAGCAACTTTCTTTGGTCTACAGAAAGTCTACATCTTTCTTGCCTATTTTAGAAACTTGGCCTGGGTTCTGCCCTTCCCCCTCTCCTCGCTCAGTCCTGACTCCCTCTTGTTCTCACTGTGCTTTTCCTCCCTGGGCAATCCCTCCACAGCCACCAGCACAGCTGCAGTTACCATCCATAGATGAGGCTCCCAGAGGTACACCCTCACCCTCACCCCTTCTCTGAGATCCAAACCCATGTATCCAACTGCCCATTTGTCATCTCTCCTTGGACATCTTTAAGGCCCCCTAAAATCCACGTGTCCCCAAACAACCTCATAACCTGTGCCTTCCTCACTGCTCCCCCGACCCATCCCCTCCATGGTCACCCTCTCAGCAACCAGCGTCCATCTGGCTGTGCAAACCAGCTACCTCCTCTCTTCCCTCAATCAATCCAGTGCCAGGTCTTATTTATTTTACCTCCAAAACAGAATCTTCTGTCTCCTTCCAGGTGTAAGCCCTAAACACCTCTCCAGAGCAGCCTTACAAGTTTCCCTGGGTCCCCTAGGCCCTTCTCAGTGAGTCTTCATTCAGCAGCCACAGTGATCTCGCCAAAGCCAGAGGTAGTGCAGCATCGCCCCACCTATAAGTCTTTCATGGTCTCCATGGAAACCAAGGGCCCTCAACGTTGTCTACAAGCATGGTCTGGCCCCTGTGGCCTCCTCAGCCCTATCTCTCCCCACAGTGCCCCCACCCCGGTTCTAACCACACTAACCTTTCAGGCCCTCCTCATGCCCCCTTGAACTTGTGGCCTTTGTGTGTGCTGTTCCCCCTGTTGGAAATGCTCTTCCCCATCCATCCTGACCCCCACCTGGACCTTCACTCGCCCTTCAGGTCCCAGCTCAAATATCACTTCCTCAGGGAAGTCCTCCCGATTAAGTCCTCCCTGCTTCCCTGTCTGCTAACATCATGTTTCACTCTTACCTAGAACTTGTCTTGGCTACCGCTTGAGATTATTTGGGGGGTCAATGCCTGCCCGCATGCTAGACTGCACACTCTAAGAAGTTGGGAACCATAACACTGTTTTTGTCCCCTTCATTCCTCAATGCCTGATATAATGCCTGGCATATATATAGATGCTCAATAAATACCCATTGAATAAGTGAATCAATCCACAACCAAATAATATAAATTTGAGTAAGTAAAGAAAGGCCATTGAAAAGCACTAATCCTGCTTATGAAAATAATTTGGGAAATCCCTTTTTGCAAACACCATGCTGATGCCAGGGGTTAGAAATGCCACCTGTGACCCCATGCTGTTGTTTTCCTAGATGATGCTTATCTCAATTCTCCCTCCAAGAGAGTGATGTTCCCCCGAGTAGAAGTGTACTGCAATATAGAACTTGCCCTTGGCAATGAGTGCCCTGAAGGCAGCCAATCAAGCCTCCAGACAGAGGAGGAATCCATACAACTTCACGCACAGTGGGCTCCCAAAGAGGAGGGAAAGGACGGCCATGTTCTTGTGTTCTCGCCTGTGGAGAGACCTGAATCCACACACGAGCGTCCTGTAGAATCACCTGTTTCACCAGCTGGCTCTTCATTTGAGCAGTCACCTGCCACTGCGCTGGCCTCCTCACCATCACATTCTCCAGATGACCTGATGCCTGCATCACTCCCAGCTGTGCACTTAGCACTCAGCTCAACACCTGTCCAATCACAGCAGCAGGTACAAACGACTGGATCACCACCAAGATCCCCACCCTCCCAGTCATCTGTGTCACCCAGGCCACCGGCTGTAGTGACATCTCAAACATTGCCCCAATGTTCTCCTTCGGCGTCACCTACACAGCTACCTGTGGAAGACCTGGGCCCAGAACAGCCCCAAGGTATGGATACTTCTGGCTTCTCACAGAAGAAGCCAGAAGTATTTCTTATGTCTGGAGTCCCTTGGCAAATGTGCAACAACATGGTAGCTGATAACCGTTGCTTTAGAGGGGTGCAGTGGTGACGTGAGCAGTTAGCTTTAGAGGCTTTACCTGTTTTGAGGATAGGCCACCACAAGGGGACAGTGTTCTTGACATTTGTTCAGGTTTTTAGTCCAGTGATTTTCAAAGGTTGGTCAGAGGCCATGACAGCAAACTCATCACCTGGGAACTTGTTAGCAATGCAAGTTCTCAGGCCCCACCACAGACCTACTGATTCAGGGAGTGGGACCCAGGTATCTATATTTTTTACAAGTCCTCCAGGGGGTTCTTTTGAGAACCATGTTTGAGAAGCACTGTGCCAGAAGGTTTTTATTGTGATAGCCACTGTGCTGGGGGAGGGCTACTCAAAGAGTGCTTTGTGGACCAACGCTGGTCCCCAAACTATTTGTTACTAATTTACAATGAAATGAGCAGAGGTTGAAAGTAAGCATTTAGGACTATTTTTAGCAATAAATATTGTCAGGACATCCAAGAGCTTGGTCATTTTCCTACTAATTCATTGTATTTCACAAAAGTACTATGGATTGCAAAAGGATTATGGATTGCAAAAAAAAAAAAAAGATTTTTAAAAACTGTTTCTTCACAACTAATATCTTCTACAGACAGCTTGAAAAGTACCGCTCTTGAGTCTTCAAAGATGAAGAATTTTCAGTTCCTCACTCAAGAAATCTCCCCTCCAGCAGAGGGGATGACAGAGATACCAGCCTCAAAAATACAGAAAAAATTAGTAACTGCTACATCACTAACAAAAATAGAGCGTGGGAGGTAGTCAAGTAGTCATAGAGATTAAGGTCACTTCTGGGGCGCCTGGGTGGCTCAGCAAGTTAAGCATCTGACTTCAGCTCAGGTCATGATCTCGCAGTCAGTGAGTTCCAGCACGGCATCAGGCTCTGTGCTGACAGCTCAGGGCCTGGAGCCTGCTTCAGATTCTGTGTCTCCCTCTCTCTCTGCCCCTCCCAACTCGTGCTCTGTCTCTCTTTCTCTCTTTCAAAAATGAATAAACATTTAAAAAATTTTTTTAAAAGATCACTTCTGTCTGAGGTAATTGATTAAGGAAATGCTTCTTGGAGGTGACAGGTGAGCTGAAATGAACAAGATTTTGATGATCATGGTTTGTGAGACAGGATGGGGCAGAGTAGAATGAGAAATTCAGATTTTGTTTATTCTAGATGTTCAGTTTCAGAGAAGGAAAGTGCAAGGAACATTCAGGATGAAGAAGATACCTGTTTGGCTACTGTGGATGGTCTGTGTGGGGGCAAAGGGAGAGGTCCCCAAATGATGGACTAAAGCCAGCTCATAGGGTCTCCATGGTCCATCCACCAAACTCCCATAGTTATTAGGGCAAACATTAGCACAGACTAGCATGACAGTTTCCTTCTTGGCGGATCTGCCCCAAATCAGGGGTACACTTTCTCTGGAATAGATTTGACCCTTTTAATCACAGTAAAATACCAGGACCTTAAAAGTAAGAAAATTGGCCAAAGTGTTTCACATGCTGTCTTACATGCTGTTAAATTAAATGCATTTGTTTTATGTTATTCACACCCGTGTCCAAAGATAGCCATCTTCAGGTAGCCTGGGCAATGCTGGGCCCTGAGTTGGCATTCCTTGCTCATGCTGGGGGTAGACAGAGGGGACAGACAGTCCAGTGCTTCTGAACTATGGGCCATTTTATCCTCAGGAGACATTTGGCAATATCGGGAGACATCTTTGATTTTCAGCTAGTGGGTAACATCTGGTGTGTAGAGACCGAGGACGCTGCTGAACATTCTACAGTGCAGAGCCTCATGATGAAGAAACATCTGGCCCTTACATTCAGTAGTGCTGTATAGTTATGGTCTTCAGCTGGGCCTCAGTAACGACAGCCTAGGCCATCTGTGGGAGATGGGCAGAAGGGAGCCTCTCAGAGGTTAGTGTGATCTGTCATTTAGCGGTGGCCATGTTGCTGTTAGGGGTGAAGGGGGTTGCAAAATGTCTCGGGAAAATCCATAAACACAGGAGCTGCAAATAGATTTGGGAAAGCCAGGGATATCCAACGAGACCCCAAATGGAAGAACTTCAAGTGGAGGAACTTAAATATAGTTTACATTATTTTTATTTATACATATTACAAAATTACACAGTCATCTTCATATATTATCTATCCCCATACTCACAGAAAATAGGAAAAGGGCTTTCTTAAGAACAATGGTCATGAAACTATTAATATTTTCTTTTCCATTAAAAAAGAGGGGCGCCTGGGTGGCGCAGTCGGTTAAGCGTCCGACTTCAGCCAGGTCACGATCTCGCGGTCCGTGAGTTCGAGCCCCGCGTCGGGCTCTGGGCTGATGGCTCAGAGCCTGGAGCCTGTTTCCGATTCTGTCTCTCCCTCTCTCTCTGCCCCTCCCCCGTTCATGCTCTGTCTCTCTCTGTCCCAAAAATAAATAAACGTTGAAAAAAAAAAAAGAAAAAGAAAAAAAGCTTTACACATAGCAGGTGATGGAAGGTTCAGGCCCCTACGGGGGATTTTCCTGAAAACTTGCCCTAACACGGTTGCTTTTTTGTGAGGGGATTGTTGATAACACTACACCAAAGGTCAGTATCCATCCTGTCACAAGATGCCACTGCCCTGGGTCTCCGTCACCATGAGAATTTGAGATTAAGAGAGTTGTTTACTGTTTCTGGATACTCTTGCTTACTTCCTATTGTTATTTCAAAAATGACTAAATACTCCTCCCCGTCCATGCCTTACTCACGTCTCCTCGATTTTTGCTTTTGTAGCTCCCCTTGCCTCTTCAAGTCGGAAAGGTGCCATGCCTGTGGTTAACTTGAAGGAAGCCACCAACAAGCCCTATGCAATGTAAGTTTGCCTTTAACTAGGGACACATCCTTTCCTTTGGTCAAGGAACGGGGGGCCTAGCTAAGTGAATTTTTCCTTCTCTTTAGCTGCCCTAGGAACGCTGGGATCCTTTTCCAGTTTGTATGATTACAGTCCACCCCTTTATACTTCTCTCTTCTTCGGTGGGGGCAATGAGTGGGAAATGAGCTATTTGTGCTCAATGTACCTTCTCCAAAAGCAGCAGGAGAATGTGCAGTCCCTCACTTCTTACTCTCTGGAGCCAGCTCAGTTCAAGAGAGCTAGCAGGCATGTTACATCCTACCCCGAGGTAGCCCCTGCACAGTATGAATTGAGGGACTCTATCAAAGGCCTTCCTTAATCCAAATTATTTTCTATCAGCATGGTAAGAGGGCTAATATTCCTATGTTGTAGATTGTCTCCAGAAAATCTTTTTTTATAATGCACATCAGTTGTCTGGGTTGTGTAACGTGTTCTCTGTTATTACCTTTGAGGTCATTCTGAGAGGGCCTGAGGATTGTTTTTGGTTGTTTTTTTTTTCTTTTTTTTAGGGACCACATTACCCAGTCTCCCTCGTTGGCTGCTTGCCAATTGGGCTGGCCATTGTCAGGCACCAGCAGGAGATCAGAGAGTGGGTCAAAGGGTATCTTTCCCCTCCCCTCCCCTAATCCCTCCTGCCCCGGGGCAGCTCTGGCAGAGGCTGGGGTTCTCAGGGCCACAGTTGCAGGTATTGAGAGAGCAGGTCCTTCTGATGTTCCCACTCCATATCATATCAAATATATTAAAATATACCTGCTTCTCACATTAAGTATAATTTTCATTATGAGACTTTTGGGGGGCACCTGGGTGGCTCAGTCAGTTGAGCATTTGACTTCAGCTCAGGTCATGATCTCATGGTCCATGAGTTCAAGGCTTGCATCGGGCTCTCTGCTGTCAGCACAGGGCCTGCTTTGGATCTTCTGTCCCTCTCTCTCTCTCTCTCTGCCACTCCTTGATGTCTCTCTCTCTCTCTCTCTCAAAAATACATAAACATTTTTTTAAAAGACTTTTTTTTTTTTTCAACGTTTATTTATTTTGGGGACAGAGAGAGACAGAGCATGAACGGGGGAGGGGCAGAGAGAGAGGGAGACACAAAATCGGAAACAGGCTCCAGGTTCTGAGCCATCAGCCCAGAGCCTGACGCGGGGCTCGAACTCATGGACCACGAGATCGTGACCTGGCTGAAGTCAGACGCTTAACCGACTGCGCCACCCAGGCGCCCCTAAAAGACTTTTTGAAAGAGTTTGCATAAATTTTAAAAATTTGTGCTTGGGCATAAACTATGCATTTTTGTTCACATGGTTTAAATTTTATTGCATTGACATATAACTGTATAAAAGTTTGAGTTTCCATTGACTAGTTGGCATAATGTTACTTAAATAGTCATTGATTATAAAATAAATGTTTGCCTTGGAACTCTGGTGTTCAGCCAGGGTTAAAAACCATAGCATTGGTGTGTCTGTCTACCTTCTGAGCTGGAGCAGGGCCCTGATGGTGGGGAACACAGGACAAGTTATTAACAAACCATTTGCTTCATCTCTCACTCAGGGACAACCCTGCCGAAGACTCAAGTTGGATGAGCAAAATATTCAAGAAGAACAAACAAAAGACAAATGGCACCCGAAAAGGCTTCCCAAGACATCCACGGTCCAAAAAACCAGGCAGCAAAGTGCAGTGAGTGTGGCTAATGTTTCTCAAATTCCCTGGGGAGGAAAAGCTTTGGGAACAGTCTGCAGGAAGATCACAAGGAGTAGGGAGGAGTCAGTAAGAGCAGGGGGTTAGGAGCTGGGCTTTGGAGTCTGACCCACCCAACAGAAAATCCCTGGTCTGCCACTATCTTACTCAGCGAGCATGCCTAGGACAAGTGGTCTATCTGAGCCTCTATTTCCCAACCTGTAAAATAGGGATGATATTGTGAAGCTTTAATGAGGTCAACATGTAAAGTGCTTTGCTGCAGAATGCAAGATGTGTAATTAGCACTCAATAATTTAGTAGATATTAGGGTTATATGCAGAGGTTAGCTAACTAACATCTCAATAGAACTCTACTTAAAAAACAAACTAGACAGTTGTGTGACCCTGTGACCCTCAACACGTAGAGATCCAAATTGTTGCCAAGCTACAGCTAAAAGCCCTAACCATTTTAGGCCTGCTTGGTGTATATTTTTTAATTGTATTATATTGTCATTGATTCCATTAGTCAACCTTTATTGAGTACCTAATAGATACCAAGCACTCTACTTGTCTCTGGAGATAGCAAATGAATTAAACTCAATCCCCAACTTTTAAGAGTTTACCCCAAAATTGAACTTTGAGCTAAAGACAAGAACGAAGTCTTAATTTTTTACTGAGCCATAACATTTTTTAAAAGAGACATGCATATATACATACACACTTGCAAATGAAAAATGCTAGCTTTTGTGGGTTTTTTTTAAAGTTTATTTATTTTGAGACAGGGAGAGCACAAGTGGAGGAGGAACAGAGAGAGAAGGAGAGAGAATGCCAAGCAGGCTCTGCACTGTCAGTGCAGAGCCCAATGCAGGGCTCGATCCCATGGACCATGAGAACATGACCTGAGCTGATATCAAGAGTCAGATGCTTAACTGACTGAGCCACCCAAGTGCCCCGAAAAATACCAGTTTTAAACACAAATGAAGCCAGGAATCATCTACAACTATTTTACTGGATTATCAAAATATTCTCTGAATGGGACAGACCCACATTGTTATCTAATTCGCTTCAAGCCTCCATTGGTCAGAAAAATCCCCAAGTCATTTTAAGTGACATCCTTCCGTGTTGTTCCTGTCCCAGATGGGATCCCTGGGTAGGCAGAGAGATTATCAGATAGATGAAGGTCAAAAGCTCAGTCCGGCAGCAACAGGCCCACTTTGAGGTCTGGGCAGTTAGGTACTTGGTGGGTGGTGGGAAGCAGTATGGTGGGGAGGAGATTCTCAGAGCTGCTGCAGAAAGTGGGGCAGATGCATGTGTCACTTTCTGGATTAAAGGATGGGCGGGGAGGGTGCAGGACCCAGCAGGCCATTGGTGGTCCTTAGGGGTCATCGGTTTAGTGTGTCCTGGGATTAGTCTCACTCTGTTCCTTGGTCTTCAGCCTCCAGATTTCTTTGACTTTTGAGGGTCCATATCTCTGTCTCTAGCAGCTCAAGGTCAAGTTTGGTCATGAGAGCATAGGCAGGTCTGCTGTGGGGGTAGGGAAGCTTCCTCGGGGCTGGGAGTGCCATCTGGAAACCAGACCCAGACTTGGGTCCCTTCATTCCAGGGCCAGGCCTCTTCCTATACATTGGAGCAGTGGGAACTATGTAACTCAGCGAGCTCTACCTTGGCCGATAAACTTCTAGGATTCAAGTGCCTTTATAAAGCAGCAGCCTGTGATAAAAACAAACAAAACAACATTCACAGCTGTGGGAAATACTGTTGTCAGTAGGTCACACATTCCGTCTGTGTTGTTCCTTTATAGAACAGATTATGAAACCGCCTGGAAGCAATTTACCAATTGACGGTCTTAAGCAATTCCATGCAAATCCATACTCTGAGCTTCAAAGACCAGGGTAGGGGGTCAAAAAAAGATGCTCGAAAGGTTAGGCATAGAGGAGGAGCAACCCAGAAAGAGAGGAAATCTACAATCACAAGTGACATTGTCACATCCATGGCCTAGTCCCGTGCGAACTCCTGATCCCCAACTGATATTCCTCCCAACAAACAGAAGAGAGGCTAGAATAAAAGCTATAGGGTAAGGGGCGCCTGGCTGGCTCAGTCAGTAGAGCATGTGATTCTTGATCTCAGGGTCTTGCGTTCAAGCCCCACGTTGGTCCTAGAGGCTACTTTAAAAAAATAAATAAATAAGTAAGTAAAAGCTACAAGGTAGATGTTCCATACGTTAATATCTCTCTCCTTCTCTCTCGCTCTCTCTCCTGTGTCTTTTAAATCGGATGTTCAAATTCATATTCTGGTGCTAATTGTATTAGTCAGTTATTGCTGCTACGATAATGCTATATAACAAGCAATCCTCCCCCCCCCCCCCACACACACACACTCTCAGTGGATTATAAAACAAACGTTTATTCTCCTCTTCCATAGTCCTGTGAGTTGGCTGGGATGATGCTGCTTAGGTTACAGGGAGTCTGGGGGCATGGCTATGTATATGTATCAGCCTAGCTTTCCACTGCTAGCCTCGTCTCTCTTCCAGTAAGAGTTCACTGGTCATCTGATTTGGGTTGTGTAACTGGTCTCAAAGTGGCAAGATGGATTGAGAAATCCAGGGACTGCCTCCAGGCTACAAGTGGAAAAGGAAGAGGTCCCTCTTGCTCATTGCTGCTCACATCCTCTCAACTGCTACCCATTCTGTCAGACTCCTCCAATTTCTACCAGTAGAGAGCCGCTCCTTTGAGTTACTATGGAATTTCTCCCTATTCAAATGTGAATGTAATGACAATAGCTAAAACTTCCAGAGTAGTTATTATGTTCCAGGCATTGTGGCACCGAGAGGGTAAGCAACATGTCCAAAGTCACACAGTAGGTAGGTGGCAGAGCCAGGATCCGAGTCATCTGTCACCAGTGTCTTGGTGTTGATCACTGAGTGATAGAAGGAGCACTGGAGTGAATCGGAAGTCACGGGGCCTAGTCCTAGTGCCTCCATTTCCTCGAGAGGGCAAATGATTGGCCAGGGTCACACAGCACATGGAAGGGGCCTTGAAACTCAGGTCTTTGCAGAGCCCCCTTTTTGTCTCACTTCTCCTCACATGTGCTTTCTTGGCTTCTCACATCCAGGTCTGCTCCCTGCCCACTCGACTTCTCTCTGCTCTCCACGTCCGAGACAGTTTGGGTCACCTACAGGCCTCATCCCAGATCCAGGAATACAGCTACGGGCCGGATCCAGGAATACAGCTGCCCTGAGGTGTGGAACTGCCCAGGGTGACCCTGGAAGCCAGGCACTGCCTGCTCTGTCCTGGGATGCTGTCTGCCCAGTTTCCTTTCTGACCCCAGACTATGGCCTCTTCCTGGCCATAGTCAAGGCCAACACTAGCCCATATATTGCCTTGTGCACTGAGAAAACAGTACCCTTTCCTGGAGAACTTGATCTCCAGGAGAATCTTCTCCTGGAAGATTGTGATAATATACTGGTTTTGTTAAAACGGTTGACTGCCGCCTGCTAGAAATCTGTGCGAATGACGTACAAAGGTACAGAACTGTACAAATAACATGCAGAAAACTGCACAAATAAGCCACAGCATGAATACGCCCGCGAAATGCTTACCCTTTGTCTTAGCAGTGTCTCCTTGTACAGTGTGCAGTCTGCACGACTGAACTCAGCGCTCTGGAGGCCACTCCACTTCTTTCCCCTTCCTGCAAAACCAAATACTAACCAGACTTTTGTAAATCAAATGATGTTTCAAACACTATTAAGTCCTGCTCTGTCAGTGGAATTCTCCATTTGCAAAAGACCCGTGTAATTATAAAGCGGGATCTGATAGCTGATTTCTGGTATAAATTGAGATTTCTGATTTCTATGCATCCAGTTGGCTATCATGGGGCCTGGCTACTTGCTTGGGGCTGCCTGAGGCATTTGGAACTGTGAAGGATGTTCTCAGCGGAAATAAGGGGAGGAAGGTCCTAGATGAGGGACTTAGAAATGATGAATCTCTGTCCTTTTTCTAGGAAACTGTGAGCCGAGAGAGAAAACTTGAGCTGGAATGGGAGAGAACCTGATGACCCCACGGTAGAGACTTCTCCCCAAGGCTCTCAGATGCAGTCCCCTCACCCTATGCCTTCTGGGGACCAGGTGTTACCCACTACCAAGCCTGTTGGTGTGGAGAGTCCTGATTCCCCTGGGCGAGCACTTCCTTGTCTAAACATCCTCCCGGCCCCGGCCTGACTTCGCTTCTGTCAGACCCCGGCCCCCCAAAATCTAGTCTACAGGGCCAAACCCTTGGGGATCGAGTCCGTGGGGACTGAGCCACGGACGCACTTTCCTCTTTCCCATCAAGAGATCAGGCTCTTTTGCTTTGCTTTGTTTTGTTTTTAATTCTCTCACTGTCCCAAAGGCTTGACTTAGAACCACCGGACTCTGCCTCAGGGGCTCCCTGGAATCACTCATGGAGCTGATCCAGCACAAGGTCATGATAAGCTCCCCAGGGCTTGTGTGGTGTGGCTGTGTGAGCCAGTCATCCTGGACTTCCCTGAGTCCTGGTGTGGTTGTGGAGGACACAGAGGCCAAACGTCCCTTCCCCTCCCATCCCCCAGCATGAGGGCAACACGAAGGCAGACCCTGTCTGCTGTTCACACCTCAGTTAAAATGTTCCACAACAAAGACTTCAGCCTCAATTTTTCCAACCCAGCCAGAAAAAAATTAGCCCCACTGCTCACTGGAGTGTGGATAGCTTCCAGCCCCAGCCAGGCCCAGTAAGGAAGCCTGGGCTGCCCACAGCCTCGGATGTATTTGCTTTGCAAATCCTGGAATGCAAACCCCAGAGGACTGGGTGGAAGACAGCCCTGAGCTTGGTTGGGGCCTCTGGAGGATGCATGCAAATTTTAGCCATGGAGGGCAGGGGGCTGTGGCAAGAGGGCCTGGAGGAGCCTACATCTAACAGGACCACGTCAGGGAGCAGGAGTCCACACAAGCTCCCTTTAGAACATTCTGCCAGGAAGAATCTAACTGTATCTTTGAGAAGCTGAGAAGAATCAAATCTCAGGTGTTCTTGCACCCTCTTCCTACTCCAGGTCTGTGGCTCAGACCAGTCAAGGGGAGCGCCCTGGGGACCATGTGGGGGCGGAGAGACAAGTCCACGGCGGTCCCCTAGCCTCTCGAGTGGTCTTGTGGTTTGCAGGCGGGCGCGGCCAGAGCCCTTGAGACCTGTGAACCGGGGGGGGGGGGGGGGGGGGGGGGGGTTTCAGGCTCGCACAACTTGGGAATGCTTATGCCCTGCTGTGCAAGAGGGAACTGAACATGACCTTAACTGTTGTTTTACCTGAAAGCCTGTATTCAGAGCCCAGATGCCCTTCTGTTAGAGTCAGGTTACAGTTAGAATCAATAAATTCCTGTGTATATTTCCCTTCATTTTTCGTATGTCCCTTTTCCCCATTAGGAGGCAATTAAGAGAATTGTTCTTGCATTGGTTTCAGGGCCGCTGGATAAAATACAGGACATCTTGTTCAATTTGGATTTCAGAGAAACAATGAATAGTTAGCATGAGTATGGCCCCAGTATTGCTATTATTTGTTGTGTATCTGAAATTCAAATTTAACTAGGCCACCCATATTTTTATTTGCTAAATTTGGCAACTCCAATTAGTTCCTTTCTCCTTATCTTTCTTTTTTTTTTTTGAAGCCAATACTAGTGGATTGGTTTTTGATGTGTCAGTCACTGTGGTTCGAAATTGGAGGTCTCACTGGTGTGGAGGTCAAGGGCAGAGCACACTCTGGTCTTCCAAACAAGCACGTCCAAATGACCCCTGAGGCTCTGCCCTCCCTGTGGCTCAGCTAACATCCCGAACTCAACCAGGTCTTGGCTGACCCCACTATCTCTGACTCACTGAGCCTCCTGACTTCTCAGGGTCAGAAATTAGGTTAATTAAAAGTCCTGATGTCACTTACCCACCTTTTGAAAGCGATTCGAAGCAGCAGGGTGTCCCATGCACCTCGGTGCTCTTGAAAGCCTCTGTGGTATGAGTGGAGGGAGCCCCACCCTCACACAATGGTGTCCCACGCTCCTACATTCCTACTGGCACGAGATTCCCATAGCTAGCGAGGTCCACGAGCATCCCAAGGGCAGGGGTCGTGCCTTCTGCGTTTGTTTATTCCATAGAGCTAGATCAGACCTGGCACATAGTAAATGCTCAATAAGTATTGGTTGGGAAAAAGAACTAATGGATTAGACAACAAGGAGAGGCACTAAAACAGGGGTTCTGGGAGCTGGGTCCTGGCCTGGTTCTGTCTGGAGGTGGTTACGTGACCTTGCACAAGGCACCCGGCCCTTCTGAGCCTCAGCTTTTTCATCTATGAAGTGAGGCGCTGCCCTCTTCTGCCCTCCTCAGAGCATGACAGTGAGGCTTCAAGGGTTGGAAGCGTAAAGTGGTTTGGAAAGAAGACAAGCTATGCACACCAGAGGGTCACCCTCCCCGGGCAGCCCCTGGAAAGACTCCTGTGTTATCTGAAAGAGGGGAGAGGAGGCCTTCGATGCCTTCCAGCAGAGACCACATTCTCTGGACCAAAAGGCAGACACTGTATCCTGTCCATTTTTACCCTGGTTCTGAATGGCCAAAATTAGAGACTTAGTAAAACAGACGGTGTAGAATCGAGACTGGCCCAGATTTTCCTGGACATATAATTCACTGTCATCCTAAGGGTCCCAGAGTTGTAGGATGTCAGGCCCAGAGGGCAAGTATCATGTCCCTGACGTCCCTCAGCCTGTGGGGAGCTGGACTAAAACCCAGGTCTCCTGATGCCCAGGGCACTTCATTACTGTCTTAGCAAGTTGGCGCTCAAGGACGGGACACCTGGGGAGCAACCAGAGAGGGCCCCCAGGCGGGGACAAGGGGGCTGACCCTCACAGCCTTGCAGGCACCAGACTGGCCTAGTTGTGGCGGGTGGGCTCCCATCTTGCCACCACTGTGAATAATCCAGATGAGACCTTTGTGCAAGTCAATTTCTTTATTTGCTTAAATAACACAGTACAAAAATGAGACTCAGATGCCAGCATCGGGAACTCATACCAAATAGTCATATAGCTTAAAGAACGTCATTCTAAATAAGAAACAATGTACAGAAGGTTCCTGACCCTCATGTCAGATCTGGTTCTGATCCTTCACATTTGGGGACTGTGTTCTTGAACACTGTCTAAACGAAATCCATAAATAGCTCACCTCTCCCCCACCTCCTTAGAAGCAGCAATAAAAGAAAATGACTTTCCGGAATATGCTTTGTTGAACTTCCTAAAACTTTGCCTCAGGTTTGAGGCCAGTCCCATCTGAGTGCCCAAGGCCTCTCTGCCCTAGGTTTCACCCCTCTCCCCAGCCTTACCCCACAGTGATCAGTGAATGTTCAATATAGCAATAGAGTATCTACCAAGGGTAACAACAGTGAGTCCATATTTTAACACCCTCTCTCCTATGACCGTATATTCCAGGCAGTGTCCAAGGGCTATGTGCATATCCCTGTTGGGCATGCATGTACATAATGGACATGTGGCAAATTGCCCATGTGAGACAAGCTGTTCAAACTATTCAGCTTCGTAGAAGGCAGAGCCTCTAACAGCCCACACTCCACCTTTGTGCAAAAATAAAAAGGAGCCCTTTCTCAAGACATTTTACTGCCATCAGGTAGAAACCTATTATCATAAATCTACAAATCTACAATGTCTAGGAAGTGACTGGCATTTCCTGGGGTATGGTGTTCTTGAGCAGTGCACATCCGTGCAACCATCCATGGCAATCCACCTTAAAGTCTTCCCTCATTTCCTGAAAACTACCCAGATCGTAACTATAATAACACCATACATGGACAAGGCACTATGTAATTTTCAGAACTCTTCACAGTCATCTTCTCACTGACTCTTGGCAAGGCATGATATGGGAGAGGTGCAAGGCATCAGCTTCACTTCTCTGAACAAAGAATTCTGGGACACAGGGTTGGAAGGATTCTGAGAGGCCAGGGATCCCCAATCCGCAGGTCTTCTCTATCTGAGGCCTGCAGACTTCCTGAGAGGCGTCTACAAATCCATATGGGCATCAAGTCCCATTGGTGCACTGAATAAATTATTTGTTGCATATAGATGCACATCTGTTTAAATGCATGAATCCTTTGGGCACTCTGGTGAGAGATGAAACAAAAATTTATTTTAAAAAACTACGACTCATTTGAAATTAACATTTTAAAAATGCCAGCAGGACTTCCACGTGATAGTGGGGCATGATTTGGGCCCGTGTGGAGCAAGAAAATACATGAATGTGAAAAGGGCACATAAGTCGGTATTAGGGTTAGCCCCAAAATGCAAAGGCTTGAGTCAAGGTAGCTCCCCATTTCCTCCCTAAACCCCAATTTAGAGACAGAATGACTGGTCCCACAATTCCAGTGGAGGACCAAGCCCTCCCAAGGAATGCCTGGTAGAATTGCCTGGATCTCAGGAGCTCTCTCCCTCATTCGTTCATGCATCCAACGAGGACTTAAAGACTGTCTCCAGCTCTGTGGGGTGTATTTGGCCACAGAATGAAAGCACTGACAGTCCCCCTTTAGGGAGATTTCAGCATGATAGAGTCAGAAGGGGTCCGATGGGTCACATAGTCTTGCCCAGAATCCAAGGTCTGGAGAGGAGGGCACACAAGTACAGGGTCTCGCAGCAAGTTTGGGGCAGGTCAGCCGGCGGAGCTCTGGTCTCCCACCTCCCCAGTCCTCGCCAGCTCCTTCCGCTAACATGGCCTCTGCCTCCAGTTAAGAACGCTTTGTGTATCTCAGTCTCAGAGAGCCCACAAGGGCTCAGGGACACAGGCGGCCATCCACTCTCGTCTTCATTCATGTCTGTGAAGCACTGGATTGGGCTATCGTGAGGCATCTTCAGAGGCTCCTGGTCAAAGCCGCCCTTGTTTGATAGCTCAAGGGAACTTGAGCGCAAAGCACAGCTCTTAATCTGGACTCTGGCTCTCAGGATTTGTGATGTCCTGGGAGGAGAAAAAGAACATAGGTTTTAGCCATAGCCCAGTTACTTGTGGGTCCTACTCTAGTAACAACAGGCTCCTAATTTAACGTATCAACACAGCACATCAGCTGTCACCTCTGGACCTTTACTCACTACCTCCTTCCTGCAGTGCTCTCCTGGCCCTTTCTCCCCCCGTCTCCTCGCCATCCTCCAAGGGCAAAAATCTACGCCTTTTGACATAGATTTTGGAAGGCTTCCAGGACCAATCACTTCATTGGCCTCAGCGACCACTAATCTGGCATTTTACTGATACTTAATTTTGTCATCAGTAAACATTCTGTCTTTTTCTATAGCAGAACCATCCTCAGGCTCTCACAGCACCTTGCACAGCTAGGCACAGTGGGGGCTCTTAACGCCTATTGGTTAAATGAATGAATGGATGAATGAGTGAATGAATGGTTAGTAAAACCAGGAGATGGAGTTAGGGCCACTGAAGATATCAGAACTGATGTTTCTATAATGTCTCTCACAAAAACTCCACAAGCTACTGCCTAACCCAACCTAGAGGGCAAATTCTCCATAATAACCCCATATCTGGGCAAAGAAAATAAAGCTGAGGAAAGAGAGGTCAAAGGTCTTAAGGAGCTTCCATCGGGAAGACAAGCCAACGTAGAACTCAGCAGGGGAGGGGAGAGGACGGTAAGAGGATCCTGTTGGGATCTTGAACTTGTCTTCCCTTGTGCCGTCTGGCTCTTTCTCACCTGCTGGGCCTCCCTGTACGGGAAGTGGGTGTAACTGGCGTGGCTGTAGCACAGGCCCATGAGGCTGAAGACGGCGTGGCTATTGTTGCTGGCAAATTTGTTAGTGAAGCCAAAGGCAAGCTGGTAGGGTCTCTTGGTGAGGTTCCTGCCCAGCTCAGGAGAGCGGGCTTTCTGGCTGTGCAGGGTGGCTGCCAGCTTCCTGAGGGAGGAGTCCGAGACCTTGTAGAAAAACCTCTTGAAGCTGGGATGTCGCCTGATCTGGAAGCAGAAATGAAGGCGGGCCGTCAGTGTTGCTGGCAGGTAGCCCCCTTCCCCCAACTGCTCCCCCCCGCTTCAACGCCACGAGCCCAGACTGGGCTGGACACCTCCCGTCCCTGGGATGAGCTTCCTTGTTAAATCCTTCCTCTACCTCTAGCCTCTCGGAATCTGTTCTGTGAGGTTCACCTCCAAGCAGCAGGACAAGGTGGGGAAAAAAAAAAAAAAGTGCAGGTCTTTGTATAACGGACGTTTCAACGGCATTTACTCGCTCTGTGACTTCTCTGAGCCTCTGTTTAGTCATGTGTTAAATGGCAGGAACAATACCCCCACCCGCATGCAGTGTTGTTGGGGGAAGGGGAGGAAGTGAGCTAGCTGATGTCAAATGTCTCACGCAGAGTGGATGTTGGATGAATTTTCGTTCACACTTTAAGTCGCCTCCTCTCAATACCTAAGTGTCCCAGTTTGCGCTCCCCCAGAGACGAGGGCTCGGGTGCAGGTAGTGATGCTGGGAAACAGCGATGGGGGAATGGAGATCTGGGGTCGGAGGGGAAGGCAGCCCACGCAGACTGGCTGCTGAGCGTGTTCCTCACAGGGCTCTCCGGGAGCCCGCGTAGAGCACACTCCTCAGAGTTAGCCCTACGAGGGGCAAGGGGCCTGAGTTATGTATACACCAGCTTCCATGAGCCATTGGCTGAGGGCTGCTTCTCGGTAGGTGGGGGGCGATCATTCTGGCCTCCCACGTGGGTGGTAAAATGGTTCTAGGGGCCGGTCCTCAGGCCAAAAGATGCGGGTGCCGGCAGCGGCGAGGTGGGCCGGCGTGCACTGTGGCGGGAAGGCGAGGTACCCACAGCGTCCGCTATGCTCATGACCCGTCCACGGCCTGTGCTCGTCTCTGCCACCTCAGATGCGATCTCTCTTGCTCTCTCCAAGTAGACTGTGAGGTTTTCAGTCTATCTGTGAGGCCACAGGCTATCTAGCAGGAGAGGACAATCTAAAAGCGTGGAAGGATTGGAGACCACATAGACGCTGAAATGTGCGACAAGACAGAGTGAAAAGGAGCTAGCAGAGGACGAGATCAGCAGGACCTGCAGGCTGGACTTGGGGGAAGGAGGGAGGTGGGACACGAGCTGAACTGCAAGGGGGATTTGGATGGGGGGGAGGTCCTGGCTGGCAGGATAAACCTCATGAGCATTATATTATTGTAAACTAACATTTATCTCATCTGCTATGTGGCCGGCAGTTTCCGTACATGCACTAAACTTTGTCAAGTAGGTAGTTACCCAC